AACCCGTAGGGTCTACACACTTAAGGTTCGGTGACGCTAGAGTTGTTATGGGAAATAGTATGTGGTTACCGAAGGTTGTTCGGAGTCCCGGATGAGATACCGGACATGACGAGGAACTCCGGAATGGTCCGAAGGTGAAGATCGATATATTGGACGAAGGGTATTGGAGTCCGGAATTGTTCTGGGAGTACCGGGTGACGACCAGCGTGACCGAAAGGTGTTTCGGAGGCCCCGGCAAGCGTTGGGGGGGCTTATGGGCCAAGGGGAGGGGCGCATCAGCCCACTAAGGGGTTGTGCGCCCCTCCCACCCCATCTCATGTAACGTGGAGAGGTGGGGGCGCCTCCCCTAGGGCAGCCACCCCTCCCAGCTTGGGGGGCAAGTTTCCTAGGGGTGGGGGCGCCCAAACCCATCTAGGGTTTCCCCTGTGGCCGCCACCCCTCCCCTAGGGAACCCTAGGGCGCCTCCTCCACCCCCCTTCCCCCTATATATAGTGAGGGAGAGAAAGGGCAGCCGCACCCCTTCCCTGGCGCAGCCCTCTCCTCCTCCAACTCTTCCTTCTCCTCCGTAGAGCTTGGCGAAGCCCTGCAGGAATACCACAAGCTCCACCACCACGCCGTCGTGCTGCCGGAGTTCTCCCTCAACTTCTCATCTCCCCTTGCTGGATCAAGAAGGAGGAGACGTCCCCGGGCTGTATGTGTGTTTGAACGTGGAGGCGCCATCCGTTCGGCGCTAGATCGGATCTTCCGTGATTTGAATCGCCGCGAGTACAACTCCATCAACCGCGTTCTTGTAACGCTTCCGCTTAGCGATCTTCAAGGGTATGAAGATGCACTCCCTCTCTCTCGTTGCTAGCATCTCCTAGATTGATCTTGGTGACATGTAGGAAAATTTTGAATTATTGCTACGTTCCCTAACACGCCCCCCTTTAGGGTTCCCCCCAAACCCTAGGCGCATGGGCCCTAGGGGGGTGGCGCCCAGCCCACTAGGGTCTGGTTCCCTTCCACCTACAGCCCATAAGACCATCCGGGGCAGGTGGACCCTCCCGGTGGACCCCCGGAACCCCTCCGATGGTCCCGGTACAATACCGGTATACCCCCGAATATTTCCGGTGACCGTATGATGACTTCCCATATATAAATCTTCACCTCCGGACTACTCCGGAACTCCTCGTGACGTCCGGGATCTCATCTGCGACTCCGAACAACATTCGGTAATCACATACAGATCTTCCTAATAACCCTAGCATCATCGAACCTTAAGTGTGTAGACCCTACGGGTTCGGGAACCATGCAGACATGACCGAGACAACTCTCCGGCCAATAACCAACAGCGGGATCTGGATACCCATGTTGGCTCGCACATGTTCCACGATGATCTCATCGGATGAACCACGATGTCGAGGATTCAAGCAATCCCGTATACAATTCCCTTTGTCAATCGGTACGTTACTTGCCCGAAATTCGATCGTCAGTATCCCAATACCTCGTTCAATCTCGTTACCGGCAAGTCACTTTACTCGTTGCGTAACACATCATCCCATGACCAACCCTTAGTCACATTGAGCTCATTACGATGATGTCTTACCGAGTGGTCCCAAAGATACCTCTCCGTCATACGGAGTGACAAATTCCAGTCTCGATTCGTGCCAACATAACAGACACTTTTAGAGATACCCGTAGTGCACCTTTATAGTCACCCAGTTACGTTGTGACGTTTGGCACACCCAAAGTATTCCTACAGTATCCGGGAGTTGCACAATCTCATGGTCTAAGGAAAAGATACTTGACATTAGAAAAGCTTTAGCAGACGAACTACACGATCTTGCGCTATGCTTAGGATTGGGTCTTGTCCATCACATCATTCTCCTAATGATGTGATCCCGTTATCAATGACATCCAATGTCCATGGTCAGGAAACCGTAACCATCTATTGATCAATGAGCTAGCCAACTAGAGGCTCACTAGGGACATGTTGTGGTCTATGTATTCACACATGTATTACGATTTCCGGATAATACAATTATAGCATGAACAATAGACAATTATCATGAATAAAGAAATATAATAACCATTTTATTATTGCCTCTAGGGCATATTTCCAACAGTATGAGCTAACATACTTTCTCTACTTGGATCATATGCAATTATGATTGGAACTCTAGCAAGCATCCACAACTACTAAAGATCATTAAGGTCGTGAAAACCCAACCATAGCATTAAGTATCAAGTCCTTTTTACTCCCATATGCAACAACCCACTTATCCGTGTTTAGGTTTCTATCACTCCCGCAACCGATAATAACGAATCATGAATATATTGCAACACCCTACAACGGAGACCCCTTCGTTTGCGCGACAAGGAGGGATCGTAGGACAACACCATAAATAAAATATACACTCATACCAACCAAGATCACGATTAACCCATAGGACAAAACGGATATACTCAAACATCATAGGATACCCAAATATCATTGGAAAATAATATATGGAGTTGAGCACCATGTATTTAAAAAATTGACCATGTATTTAAAAAATTGACCATGTATTTAAAAAAATGAAGATTTTTTATCATGTATATAAAAATGTTAATCAAGCATTTGTAAAAATGTTGAGCAAGTATTTAAAAAATGTTAATCAAGCATTTGAAAAATATTGAACAAGTACTCGAAAAATGTTAATAAAGCATTTGGAAAATGTTAAATGTGTATAGAACAAATATTGACCATCTACTAAAAAATAATTAAACAATTTGACCATGTATATAAAAAAGATAATCAAGCATTTGAAGAAATATTGAAAAAGTATTTGAAAAAATTTAACAAATCATTTAGAAAATGTCAAATATGTATAGGAAAAATGTGACCATGTATTAAAAATGATGAAAAACTCGATCATGTATATAAAAATGTTAATCAAGCATTTGAAAAAATGTTGAACAAGTATTTAAAAATTGTTAATCAAGCATTTAAAAAATGTTAAATGTCTGTAGAAAAGATAATGAACATCTATTAAAAAATGGCAAAACAATTTGATCATGTATATAAAAATGTTAATCAGGCATTTTGGAAAATTTTGAACAAGTATTTGAAAAATGTTAATCAAGCATTTAGAAAATGTTAAATGTATACAGAAAAAATGTTGACCTTTTATTAAAAAATGACAAAAAAAATTAATATTGTATATGAAAATGTTAATAAAGCATTTGGAAAAATATTAAACAAATATTACAAAATTATTAATCAAGCATTTAAAAAATTTAAATGCAGATAAAAAGATGTTGATCATGTATTAAAAATATGTTAATCATTTAGTTGAAAAATGTTAATCAGGTATTTAAATAAAATGTTAAAATGTATAGATAATTTTTTTGACTATGTATTGAAAAAATATTAATAAAGGATTTGAAATATGTTAAATAAAACATTGACCATCTATTCAAGAAAATGTTAAACTTGTGTTTAAAAGATGTTAAACGTGTATTACAAAAATTTATTAGATATATATGAAAAATATGTATAAAAACAGTGAAATCCCGAGGGAAAACAAAAGGAGAAAAACAGATGAAGAACAAGAAAGAACAAAACAAAACCGACGAAAAATAAAGAATAGAAAAATGTAATTGAAAACAGAAAAAGAAACAAGGAAATCGAAGCAAAACAAAGAAAAGAAAAAGCCCAATAAGAACAGTTAAAATAAATAAAGAAAAATTGTGAGAATGTAGAAACAAACGAACAAGCCAATAAGAAAAATAAAGAAAAACAAAACACATAAGAACCCAATGAAAAATCGGCTTTTTCCCTTTATAAGTAGATCGCGCCATACTATTTTCACAAACCCGATGGTGGCTCCCTAACTTCGAAATCACTAGTTAAGGAGTACTTATTGCAAAGATCACTCCAATATCTCAGGTTGCGATAAGTAGTGCACATGCAACGCGTTACTTGTCGCAATCTGGAACTTTTCTCTTTTTTCGTTGATCCATTTATTCAAAACGTATTATCTCTGCGTCCAAATCTCAAACCGTCTTCACCGTTAGATTCCTCGCGCCGAGATCTTCGAAACTAGATCCCATGTTGATAGGTTTTGACAAACTTTTAAAAAAAACGGTCGATAAAAACCGAACCGGGAGCATGGGTTTTTTCCCTTTTCGAAAGAGGCATGCCCGTGTCTCTCACAAAATCACAACCGTGCCTCTCGCGGAAGCAGAACCGTGACTTTCGCGGAAGGGAAAAAAAAGATAAAATGCATTTTTTTTCGTTTCCGAAGAGGCATGGCCGTGACTCTCGTGAAAGCACGCCCGTGCCTCTCGCGGAAGCAAAACTATGACTCTCGCGAAAGGAAAAAAAACAAAAAGCGTGTTTTTTTCATTTCCGAGAGGCACGGCCGTGACTCTCGCGAAAGCACAACCGTGTCTCTCGCGGAAGCAAAACCGTGACTCTCGCGAAAGGAAAAAAAACAGAAAACGCATTTTTCCCCGTTTCCAAGAGGCTCAGTCTTGACTTTCGGCAAAGCAAAACCGTGACTCTCGTAAAAGGAAGAAAAAAAATGCTTCTTTTGACGTAAAAAAAATTAAAAAAAAATTTGATCGAAAAGCTAAGGAAGACAGATGGAAAAAAAACGTCAAAAAATCAGAAAAAATCCGTTTAAATAGCTGAAAACACGTGCGGAAAAATAAAAAAAACTAAAAAAACGCCCAGAGCACAACATGTGACAAATGGCTGAGAGCACGTCAAATGACGCTAATCGTTGCGAGTCTCCCAAAAGAGCGCTCGTTAACTAGTGGCTCCCAACTAACTTGCAGCGCTGCCGCCTATCGTGCTGGAGACGCAATGGGCCGGCCTGTAACTGTAGATGTTTAGGGCGAGATATCCTACAGTGTCGCCACGCTGACGCTGACAGGCCGGCTGGCGTTTCGAGAACAGTGCACCGCTGATGTGTGGGTAAACTCGTCATCTGCATCAACGGCTAACAACGAGCTCTATCCCGCAGCAGCTAGCAATGCCCGCCACCATGCCGCTAACCTTGTCCCCGCCCCGCCTCCTCCTCCACCACCACCGCCACGGCCAAGCCAAGCTCCAGCAGCAGCGCTCCACCGCCGGCTTCGCGGTCCTCCCGCGCCGCGCCGCTCGGCTCCGCTGCGCCCCCGACGAGGTCGCGGCCACAGCCGCCGAGCCCGAGCAGCAGGGGGAGGAGGAGGAGTTCGTGCTCCTCGCCTCCAACCGCAGCGACTTCAACGAGGTCATCATGGTCATCGACTCGCCCTCCAACCGCTACCTCGTCCTCGACCCCAGCCGTAAGTGTCACCGCTTGCTCGGCAGACTTGGGTCGAGTTGGTTTCTGAATCTGAATACAGTGCGTTCGACCTCTGTCTCCTGCAGGGAATGTCCACAGCATTCTCCCCAAGAAGAGCGCCTGGACCAATTCCTACTGGGTAGGTATCTGAACAGAATTTAGATGAGACGACATTTTGATTAATGCTCTACCATCCGTGACCTGAGCATGTATGAGTACACAATTGTTATAAGCATATTATCGAGCACCTGGTAGGCATTAGGACCATTATGCTCGATGCTGCCAGTATGGCTATTACCATGGGAAATGCACTCCAATCTTAAATTTTTGGTATGGGAACAGAAACGATGTTTTTATCCAACTGGATTTTTTACACGGCCGATGTTTTCATCGCCCGGAAATATGTTTTATCGCACAGAAAAAATGTTTTAATCGTCTTCCAACACCGTGTTCAATTGCTCAAAGCAGCTATTGGATGTAAATTCTTATAACATGTTTGCTTTTGCTATCATTCAGGATGAGTTCGTCAGCCTACCTCCCGTTGTTCCACGTGGTCCTGTTGCACTTCTAGGTTTGGTAAACCCCTTCTCTGACATTTCTCAGCTATACTCCTGTTCTTTATTGTTTCTGTGAAGCTGCTTCTGGGATTACATCCTATAGTATGCTTAGGGGGAGTTGAGGAGATGTTTTACACACTAGTACTTTTCTATTCCACAAGTTGCAATGAGTCTGTATAGAGTATTGTGCATCACAATTCCTTGTAAGAACAGTAGGTGATCTATTTACACAAGCAACATAGTGTCATAGGCTCATAGCGCTCCTTATTTAAATAATTAGCTCTTCACACACTTGCAGATGTGATTCATTTCTTCTCTACATGCTTCTTTCAGGGTGCTGGGACAGCAGCACATATGATGCTAGAAGTTTGGCCCTGGATACAACTTATTGGATGGGAGATTGATCCGACGGTGAAAACTGTTCTCACTGTCCTTTCATTTGTTTACTGATCACATGACTTAAGTCTGCAGAATTTTTCCAATTTCGTCATACAGCAGTCTTGGAAACTTGTCAGAAGAGCATTAATTTTTTGTAATGTTGGTTATGCTATTTCAAGCACACTTGCATTACCAGGATTGTGTGACTGGTTATGCTATTACAACTATTCATGTTTTTCAGCCTCGTTTCTTCAGATTTTTGCTTTTCGTAATCATACAGCCATCTGTTTATATTTTCCTAACTGACATCCCTGCAAAACTGTATCGTTTCATGACAGATAATTGAATTGTCGAGGGATTATTTTGGTATGTCCAATTTAGAGAAGACCACGGAATTAGGTGGTTCACTTTCGGTGCGTATAGGCGATGCACTTTCCCCATCAGCTACAGTTGAAGGAGGATTTGCTGGTGAACATCTGATCTGATGCAACATAATGCATGTCTTACTGCCTTATTGGAATTGAATTATGACATGCTCTTAGTAATCAGTTTTTCAATAATTATCTGTAATAAATTTTAGACTCTGTTATTATGTTAGTGTTTCGAATGCCTTTAATTAGCTTTTCAAAGCATTTTAAGTTTTCAGTTTCGGGAACTGACTTGCAATAGGCTGACGGTACCTTGCTCATGCCTGCAGGCGTTGTTGTTGATTTATTTGCTGATGGAAAAGTCTTACCTCAGCTACAAGAAGTAAATATCCCATGCCTTTTTAATTCATTTGTTATTATTCTCTATTTCTACCATGGCTCGTTTGTATTTTTCACTATATATATTTACCTCGTGCTCCTTCCGGAACACATCAGAGTCATATTGTTATATGGTATAGCATGCAGGAACCACCATAGCTCCACAACAAATATCTTTGTGCTTGTGAATTTGAACTGTTATCATGCTGTATTAATGAGTGCACAAACTCAGTTCAGTCTGGTATTTAATTTACCGACGTAGAAAATGTGCTTACACATCCCAAAGTAAATACTAGAGCACATGCAAATGCATAAAAGTGATCTAGGACCTCGAGGATCTCTGCTCTAGGGAGACGCTAACAAAAGTTAGCTACTTCTTGCAACCTTAGCAACTCTCGTGTTCGAGGAAACATTGGTGTGTTCAAGAATACTCTGATATGATGCTTATACCAAACTAAATTTATATAAAGCTTTTGTATTCTTATGACAAAACGTACTTCTGAGATTTGTAAGTTCTTGGGTGCTATATTTGTATGGAGTATTTACTTCATTCACCAAACTACATAGTACACTCTGATTTGCGCTGGGTTTAATGTAATGTCAACATTGTCGCAGGCTGAAACTTGGGTAGAGATTGCAAAAAAGCTCATGCCAGATGGTCGAATCATGGTCAACTGCGGCGGAGCAGATACCCCCGTATCTCTTGCTGCTGACACGGGTGTTTCGTCTTGGGTCCAGAATCCTACAATCAAGGCTCTGTGCTCCGCGTTCCCTGGGCAGGTAAGAGTAATAGTTACCAGACCACTGAAACTATATATTTTCGACTGTTGGTGCGAAATGATGTCCTGCTGATGATACGACCCTATATCGCAGCTAAACTGGAAGAGACTTTCGGAGAAGGAGAGTGTAAACTACGTCGCGTTGACGAGTCCCCTTCCAGACCTGGAGGAGTGGTCAACCTCGCTTCCTAGCGAGCTAAGCCCAAGAGTGAAACAATGGGTGCCTTGCGAGCTCGCGTGAGGATGTGCGTTTTCTTCTGGTTGCACCTTTACTTGCTTCTACAACTTTGTCTGTCTCCTCCCTCCACGGTCCTTATAAGGTAGTAAGTAGTTGCTGCAGCCAGTACATACCGTACACTTGATTATTTTGAATTATGTTAATCGTTGAATTGTTACTTGCTCAAGGTGTACATAAGGCCATCTGTCTGCATCTGAAGAAGTACCATATCATAGCAGCACTCACATGTCCAAGGAGGGAATTGCAGTGGGGAAGGTAGTCTATCTGGCTCCAGAAGCTTGAAGAACAGCACGCTACAATTTTTGGCATGTCCTGCTGACCTGCTGTTGATTGCCGTTCATCATTCCATGTCTTGATAGTGTTGCAAAGTGTCAAGTTCAGTCGCTGATTAGTAAGCGCGCGTTACATCCCTTTGTTTTTTTAGGTAACAGCTTGTTTTTCCTGCTGTTTAAAAGACCGATTCGTGCCGCGGCTGAGCTGAATCAAAGCCAGCCACAGTTTGCAGTCTTTTGCCAGTGTAATGTTGTTGTTCAACATCAGGTTCTTACACGGCTACATAATTGTTATACTGGTGGTGGCGCTGGGCAAGTAGGCCGTGAAGCATTACCTCTCGCTTACGGCAAGTGAGCTAGGGTTAGAGTTAAGTCTCTTAGTATGTAATCCTTTCGGTATGTTCGATGAAGTCGTCTCCTTTCGTGCGCATTGTGTTTGTGATGAACTGACGCGTGATCTCGAACAAATTCTCGCGTGAAATATATTTTTTAATTATCCAATATCGTTTAGGGGATCTGTTCAGGTTGAAGCTTTTGCAACCCGTAAAACCAGTTTCGGGGTACGCAAGCTGGTTTTACGGTTTGGGATTTTTAGTGGATCTCTGCTAGAGATGCTCTAAGCGGTAGGTTACTGCAGCCGCGTGTTGATCATGCGTTGTCAGTAAAGGCGTCACTATTGAGAGTTTTTGACGAGAAAGGAACCAGTCAATGAGATAAAGTTTAACATGCTGATATGAAGAATTAGTTTTCTTTTTCGAAAAGGGGGCTCCCCGGCCTCTGCATTAGAGTGATGTATACGGCCATCTTATTAACCAAATAACAAAAGGTGTCAACAAAGTTCCAAAGTCTCCAGTTGATAGAAGGAAAATGCAGCTCACACAGAGCTTAAAAAGGCTAGATACACAAACTAATCAGGAAAAGATGCCGCAACCGGCTGGCTAAAAATAGATAGGTAAACTAATTGTCTATCCTGTTACATGACCGCCATCCAAACCGGTTGAAGATATCCCGAGCTATCATTTTCCAACGGAAAGATCCAGTAACCAAATGCTTCCTGGCCTCCATCGGAGTGAGTAGCGACCACGAACGGATCACTGCCATAGCTCGGAAAATAACCTGCAAAAAATGAATCTGTGATGTTCTGTTAAAAACCAAATCATTTCTGCAATTCTAGATAGTCCACAACAAAGCGCAAACTCCAACCCGAATATGTCTTGCTAAGTCAGGCTCAACCCCATTAAGCCATGTCCCAAATAATGCATTAACCGAAGGCGGTGGAGTAATATTAAAAGCAATATGGACAGTCCGCCAAAGGACTTTGGCCAACGGACAATCAAACAATAAATGCTTAATCGTCTCATCCCGATCACAGAAACTACACCTAGTAGGTCCTGTCCAATTACGCTTTATCAAGTTGTTCTTTGTTAAAATAACTTGTTTATAGACAAACCACATAAATACTTTAATTTTTAAAGAAACTTTGACTGCCCAAACATACTTGGAAGTTGGAATGGAGTTCGAATTAATAACATCAATATACATTGATTTAACTGTAAATACTCCAGACCTAGTCAACTTCCAGCGTAATTCATCGGGTTGGTGAGAAAGTTGAACGTCCATCAGTCTCCTAACTAGATGGAGCCATTCTTCCCAACGATTGCCCGCTAGCGACCGTCTAAACTGAATATTAAGGGGGATAGATTGAAATACCGTTGCCACAAATACCTCACGTCGTTAAGCAATCCGATATAAAGACGGATATTGAATGGCTAAAGGTGAGTCGCCAAGCCAAGTATCCTCCCAGAAACGTGTACTTGCACCGTTTCCAATAACAAATCTCGTTCTATTGAACATTGATTGTTTGACTTTCATTAGTCCTTTCCAGAAAGGCGAATCAGTCGGTCTGACTGTGACCTGGGACAATGTTTTAGTCTGGAGGTACTTGCTGCGGAGGATCTGCGCCCACATGGCCTCAGTCCCGGAAGAAAGCTTCCACAACCACTTACTAAGAAGGCATATGTTCTTGACTTCAAGATTTTCAATACCAAGACCCCCTTGGTCTTTCGGTCGACAGATGATGTCCCATTTAGCAAGCCGATATTTTCTTTTAAGATCATCACCCTGCCAGAAGAAACACGACCGATAGAAGTCCAGTCTTTTCCTAACACCAACTGGGACCTCAAAAAATGATAAGAGGAACATAGGCATACTCGTGAGCACCGAATTAATCAATATCAAACGGGCTCCGTATGACATGAGCTTACCCTTCCAGCAGCTCAGTTTTTTCTCAAATCGATCCTCGATGCACTTCCATTCTCTGTTTGTCAGCCTATGATGGTGTATCGGAATACCAAGGTATGAGAAAGGTAAAGTCCCCAACTCGCACCCAAACAATTGCCTATAAGACTCCTGGTCGTCTTTGGCTCTACCAAAGCAAAACAACTCGCTCTTATGAAAGTTAATCTTTAACCCAGTCAATTGTTCAAAAAGGCATAACACCAGCTTCATATTTCTCGCCTTGGCCAAATCATGCTCCATAAAGATGATTGTATCATCTGCGTATTGAAGGATGGAAACACCTCCATCAACGAGATGAGGTACCAAACCACCCACTTAACCATTCTCCTTGCCCTCCCTATCAAAATTGCTAACATATCCACCACAATGTTAAACAAGATAGGGGACATCGGATCTCCTTGTCTGAGGCCTTTATGTGTCTGGAAGTAATGACCTATATCGTCATTCACTTTAATTCCCACACTCCCTTTTTGCGTAAAGGATTCGACCTGTCGGCGCCAGGCTTCATCAAAACCCTTCATACGCAATGCTTGTTGGAGGAATGGCCATTTGACCTTATCGTACGCTTTTTTGAAATCCACCTTAAAAATTACTCCATCTAATTTTTTGGAATGGATTTCATGGAGAGTTTCATGAAGAACAACCACCCCTTCAAGGATGTTCCTGTCCGGCATGAAAGCAGTTTGGGATTGTCTCACCACAGAATGCGCAATCTGTGTGAGCCTACTGGTCCCGACCTTGGTGAAGATTTTGAAACTAACATTGAGGAGGCAGATCGGTCTGAACTGCTCAATTCTCACAGCATCCGTTTTCTTAGGGAGCAATGTGATAGTTCCAAAATTCAGGTGAAATAATTGAAGCTGTCCAGAGAAGAGATCATAAAACATAGGTAGTAAATCCCCCTTAATAATGTGCCAGCACTTTTTATAGAACTCAGCCGGGAACCCATCCGGTCCGGGAGCCTTATTGTTTTTCATTTGTGCAATAGCATCGAACACCTCCTTCTTTGAGAACGGGGCAACCAGGATATCACTATCAGCAGCAGACAGCTGAGGCACATCCTTAGTCCTGGACTCATCGAGGGACACACAATTATCCTCCGGAGGTCCAAATAACTGTCTATAATACTCGGTAATATAGGTTTTGAGATTATCTTGACCTAAAATCGTACCCTCATCCTGTTCAAGCTGAAAGATCCGCTTATTTCTGTGCTTACCATTAGCAATGAGGTGAAAGAATTGAGTATTTGCGTCCCCTTGGACCACTTTGCGGACCTTAGCTCGCGAAGCCCACTTCAATTCTTCTTCGCGGAGAAGTTCTTTCAGCCTCTTCTCCGCCTCATTTTTGACCTGAAGCTCAGGAGGCAGCAAAATCACGGATTCGGCTTTTATGTCCAGGGCCTGTACAAGAGAAAGGAGCCTATCCTTCTCGATATTATACACCCCACTGAGGTGCTTAGCCCAACCCCGTAAGAAACTTCTCAAATGCCTAATCTTATTCTGCCAACGCTCGACCGTCGTCCTTCCTCCTACCCCCTTAGCCCATTCCCTAGCTATGAGGTCGAAGAACCCCTCGCGTTCGAACCAGGCCATCTCAAATGAAAAGGTGTTTTTGTTTCCTAAATGGTTCGGCTCCCCTGAGTCGACGAACAATGGTGTGTGATCAGAAATTCCCCGCGTGAGAGCTTGCACCGTAACAAGAGGGAACTTCTGTTCCCACTCCATGCTCGCGAGAACTCGATCAAGCTTTTCATATGTCGGGTTTGGCAGAGCATTAGCCCAGGTAAAATTTCTACCAGAAAGCCCCTGAGTCGACGAACAATAGTGTGTGATCAGAAATTCCCCGCGTGAGAGCTTGCACCGTAACAAGAGGGAACTTCTGTTCCCACTCCACGCTCGCGAGAATTCGATCAAGCTTTTCATATGTCGGGTTTGGCAGAGCATTAGCCCAGGTAAACTTTCTACCAGAAAGCTCTATCTCCCTTAGATCCAAGCTTGAATAATGGTATTGAACATAAACGACCACCTGCCGTCAAAATTATCATTATTTTTCTCCTCTCTCCTCCTAATGATATTGAAATCACCCCCGACCAACAACGGAAGTTGCTCGGATCCACAGATCCGAACCAGGTCCGCTAGAAAGTCCGGTTTAAGTTCGGGCTGTGCGGCACCATAAACCGCCACCAATGCCCAGTTGAACCCATCAACTTTAGAACTAACTCGAAACTTTACCACGAAGTCGCCCATTACTACACTCCGGACTTCAAGGGAGTCGCATCTCACACCCAATAAGATACCTCCTGATCTTCCTCGCGGAGGGAGGCAATGCCAATCGAAATCAATACCACCCACAAGAGAGGATAGAAACTGTGGCGCAAAATTATCTCGACCGGTTTCCGATAAAGCAATAAAATCTAACTGATGTTCCAGAGAA